GTACTCGAGATTAGAAAAATCAGTAAACATATGAAGTATATATCTATAGATATTATTATGAAACAAATATAGCCGTGTTTTAGTTACTCCAAATATAACAGAATAGGGAAAATTAATGTAGAGCCGAATTAATGAAAGACAGATATTTGTTATAAATGGTTAAAAAAGGTTGCTAACCAAATTACTCTCATATACTAGGTTGAACAAAATGTTTTCTTTGTGGATTCACATAATATTCGATGTAGTGGTACATTCTATATCATCACACCACCATTACGTTCTGCACTGGGGCGATAAACAAACTGCATTGTTTTAATGTATTTCAAAAAGAGGGGAATATTCTTTATTAAAATATATATTAAATTATCAAAATATGTTTTATAGAACAAGATAGTGTTATAAATGGTGTTTGAAATTAGATTTAACTATTGTATTGTTCACTCAATACAGTTTTTTTTACCAGTGTCAGGTGTTGAATGGAAAATGAATTCAATGTAATTGCTGTGGATCTCGTTTGCTTAGCTTGTGTCAAGAATACTTCTTTATAAGAACGTTAAAACTCGAAATCTTGAGATAATGAAAATTGTATTCAATATATAATCCCTGGATGAATCTCTGCCAAAACCTCTGTAAATTATTTTATTACAATTATTTAAAAAGTTATAGGACTCCTTGGTACATGAAAAAATATACTCCGTGAAAAGTAAATAATGTCAATAGTTTGATAATAAACAAATACTTTATTTCCAGGAAAAATTCAACAACACGAAATATAAATTTAATTTGATAGATATTTTAAGGTTGGTTATCTGATCGTCAAGATGTAATGTTGTGAAATCTTTTCACTAGAAACCTAACTCTTACAAAAATATTTATTTCTAAACTTTTAAAACTACCTTTTCAGATAAAACATGTTTCTTATTGTTAACAGCCCTAATGCGATACCTATTTTCTTGAGTTCCCAAGCTATCTGTTCTGGCGAAATACACTCCGTTAAAAGATAAAGCCTATCTGAAGAGTTTTGTGAAATAATTTCAATTTTCGGTTTGAATATAAAGACAAAGTTAAATATTTAGTAGCTGGTTTATCGTAGTTAGGACTATTAAGAAAAACCTTTTGTAGATCAATTCATGGTAAAATTGAAACTGTAATATAAATAAGTATTTCATTTTTCAATTGAATTTATTTATTTATGAAAGGAACTTTAATATAATCTTCTAACACACAAAATTGCAGAAACGTGTAAAATCTTATATTAAAAGTATTTTACATACAGATTTGTATTTGACAGATCGCATGTTTTTATCAAAACGTAGAAAGAATCGTTAGAAGTCATCGTGTTTGCAATTCCTACCTTTCCAGGTGAAATCCGATTTCTTATTCTAGTAACTTTCTGATTTTATGAAACAATATTCATTGCGCCGTATGTAAACTCACCGGTCCAGGTGGAAGGCCGCTATCTCGCTGTTGTGTCTCTCGAAGTCCACGAAGTAGAAATGATTTGGCTCCGTCTCTTTGTCCCTCGGGAACCTGAAATCATCACATGAGAGCTAAATTTAGTGTTAAAGCAAATATCCTCTCAATCATTCATTTAAATTAAATTTTAATCAAGTATGATATAAAATCCAGAAAAGAGCTATGCAAATTCCCATCAAAGTCGGAACATTTGGCATCGTCCCTATATGTAAATATTTTCGGTGAATATAGTATTTCTCTATATTATATTAGTTAATGTATAAAATTGAATGTCTGTCTGTCTCTCTCTCTGTCTGCCTGTACTCTATAGATTCAAAAACCATACATCCAATCGCCGTGAAATTTTGGGATATTATTAGGTATATCACCGGGAAGGTTTTTGAAAAATAATTTCATGAATATCTTGAATATCCTCAGAGTTATTTGCAGATTTGTAGATTTAACTCGCAAGCAGCGCCCCCATTGTGACGATGGTAACAAGTTTTCTTATCACTAAGTTTGTTATCTTAAATATTATTTATCAAAAGTAAGATTATCTCAGGATGACACGGCAATTTATTTGAGACAAGAATAATGATACAATTCCAAGGCGAAGATACTATTCCTTTAACTTCCAATTTTCTAATGTAGAAAATTAGGAAAGACAAAATTCAGGATGACACGGCACACAGGGACCGGGAAAAAATGTTCACTTTATCGAGAGATTCAAATTTACGAGTTTCAAATTATCAAAATATAACTTTTTTTTTAAATAGGTTTTTAGAGAATTGTTTTAACAAATGTTCGCTAGACAAACCTTTACTCGGGTAAAACCTCGGGCGAAGCCGGGTACGTCCGCTAGTTAGTTAATAATATTCATTTGAAGTTGTTTTCAAAAATAATTTCAGAATATATCTATATTAATAAAATGCAAATTTCATAAGTGTTGTTCATTAAAAACTTTCGTTACAATGCATCAATTTCGACCAAATTTTCAACATTTATGTAAAACGAGATGGAGCAGGTTTTGCTTAACATCAAAATATTTTTCCTAACATTAACATGCGTAACTTCGCTGTTATCGATTAAATACAAAAAAATCAACAGAGTTAATTTTATTTATATATAAATACAAAATTAAATTTCAACAGAGTTAATTTTTTTACATACTAGCTAATAATCTCAATCTAAAAAATATTCAAAACAAGCAATCAACATATATAGTCACGACCGTCATGGGCCGGCCGGCCGGTTCTGTCACGGATGCGCGCGCATCATCATTATGATCATTATCATTATCTAATGATAATAATAATAATTATAATAATAATAATAATTATTATTATTATTATATTATTATTATTATCCATCCATTATATATATAGTCACGACCGTCATGGGCCGGCCGGTTCTGTCACGGATGCGCGCGCACAGGGAGGTCACGTGCTCGCCGGCAGCCAACGGGCGCGCGCCGCCGGCATTACGTCATAGATTATAAACACAAGGTAATAAGGCCAAATAAAAAAATAGTGTGTGATAAGGCACAATTTGGATTATCTATTTATATAATTGCCTTATTCTCTCTGTGTGAAGTTCACTGTGTGAAGTTCACGGATAGATTTTGGTCAGAATGGATAAAATAAAAAAAGTGTCAAGGGATGGGAATCGAACCCACGACCTTCCGCTTACCGGGCAGATGCCATGACCACTAGGCTACCCTGGACATATTTTTCCGTTCACATTTTTATTTTATATTTTCAAGACACACACAGTTTGGGGCGGGACGTTTCACAAGAGAGACATCCACGGCGCCAATTTATAATTGTAACGAATAGTATTTTAATTAAAACATTTTAAAAATATATACGCACTCGGGTAAAACCCGGGCGTTGCCCGGGCCATTCGTCTAGTATAATATAAAAAGCCAACAATGATGAATGAATGTAAGATAAAAAGCCAACAATGAAGACTGAATATGATATAAAAAGCCAACAATGAAGAGTGAATGTAATATAAAAAGCCAACAATGAAGAGTGAATGTAAGATAAAAAGCCAACAATGAAGAATGAATGTAAGATAAAAAGCCAACAATGAAGAGTGAATGTAAGATAAAAAGCCAACAATGAATAGTAAATCTATATATATAAAATTGAATGTCTGTCTGTCTGTCTGTTTGTCTGTACTCTATAGATTCAAAAACCATACATCCAATCGCCGTGAAATTTTGGGATATTATTAGGTATATTACCGGGAAGGTTTTTGAAAAATAATTTCCTGAATATCTTGAATATCCTTAGAGTTATTTGCAGATTTGTAGATTTAACTCGCAAGCAGCGCCCCCATTGTGACGATGTTAACAAGTTTTCTTATCACTAAGAGTGTTATCTTAAATATTATTTATCAAAAGTAAGATTATCTCAGGATGACACGGCAATGTGACACGGGAAAAAATGTTCACTAGATAAAACTATGATTTTCTAATGTAGAAAATTAGGAAACACAAAATTCAGGATGACACGGCACACAGGGACCGGGAAAAAATGTTCACTTTATCGAGAGATTCAAATTTACGAGTTTCAAATTATCAAAATATATCTTTTTTTTTTCAATAAGTTTTTAGAGAATTGTTTTAACAAATGTTCGCTAGACAAACCTTTACTCGGGTAAAACCCCGGGCGAAGCCAAGTACGTTTTAAAAGTTTATAGAGAATTGTTTTAACAAATGTCCGTTAGACAAACATTCACTCGGGTAAAACCCGGGCGAAGCCGGGCACATCCGCTAGTGTAATATAAAAAGCCAACAATGAAGAATGAATGTAAGATAAAAAGCCAACAATGAAGAGTAAATATAATATAAAAAGCCAACAATGAAGAATGAAGGAAGATAAAAAGCCAACAATGAAGAGTAAATATAATATAAAAAGCCAACAATGAAGAGTGAGTGTAATATAAAAAGCCAACAATGTAGAATGAATGTAAGATAAAAAGCCAACAATGAAGAGTGAATGTAAGATAAAAAGCCAACAATGAAGAGTAAATATAATATAAAAAGCCAACAATGAAGAATGAATGTAAGATAAAAAGCCAACATTGAAGAGTAAATATAATATAAAAAGCCAACAATGAAGAGTGAATGTAAGATAAAAAGCCAACAATGAAGAGTAAATGTAATATAAAAAGCCAACAGAGTGAATGTAAGATAAAAAGCCAACAATGAAGAGTGAATGTAATATAAAAAGCCAGCAATGAAGAATGAATGTAAGTTAAAAAGTCAACAATGAAGAGTAAATCTTTATATATATATATCTCTATATATATATAAGTCAATTCCTGTCTGTCTGTCTGTCTGTTTTACGATAAACTCAAAAACTTCTGAACCAATTGGTTCCAAATTTTGCATGTCGCTTTTTATAAACCTGAGGAAAATTTTTGGCTACATTTTGCTTATTATTTTTGGCTATTTCTTTTTTTAATTTGAAGAACTATTTTTTTACGCGGACTAATCCGGAATGGAATGAATACCTAAATATGGCCATTTTTTTAAAGCATCGGTGGCTTAGTGGTTGAATGCTCGCCTGCCACGCGGGCGGCCCGGGTTCGATTCCCGGCCGATGCATTTTTTTTTACAATTTTTAAAACTAATTTATAAAAAATATAATATAAATATATACTATTATATCAACTATATGAATTAAATCAAATACCTAAACACTAATCTCTATATATATAAAAGTCAATTTCTGTCTCTCTGTCTGTCTGTTTCGCGATAAACTCAAAAACTACTGAACCAATTGGTACCAAATTTTGCATGTCGCTTTTTATAAACCTGAGGAAAATTTTTGGATACAATTTGCTTAGTATTTTTGGCTATTTCTTTTTTTCCTTTGAAGAACTTTTTTTTTTACGCGGAGTAATCCGGAATGGAATGAATACCCAAATATGGCCATTTTGTAAACGCATCGGTGGCTCAGTGGTAGAATGCTCGCCTGCCACGCGGGCGGCCCGGGTTCGATTCCCGGCCGATGCATTTTTTTTAAACAATTTTTAAAACTCATTTATATTATATCTTCTATATATATAAAAATCAATGTTTGTATGTTTGTTTGTTTGTATGTCTGGTATACAAATTCGCAGTAGTTCACTAATTCAAACCAAAATTTCCATACATAGGTAAAAAAATACGAGGAAAACGATAGGCTATTTTAAATTATATATAAATTAAATATTAAAACTATATATTCAAATTATTCTACTTAGCTCACGAACAGCGCACTCTATCAAGGTTATAAATACGTTTAAATCGAAATCTTCTCAAAATTTTATTAATAATAGTGTGTGTGTGTGGTGTGTGTTCGCTTAATAATTAGAAAACTTGATCTAAATCGAAATATTTATAGACGCTCGCTCGATTTGAAGATTTATATCGTAACTAATCTGACCGTAAAGTTTGGAGCGGGACGTTTCACAAGAGTGACATCCACGGCGCCAATTTATAATTGTAACGAATAGTGTTTGAATAAAACATTTAATCGGGTAAACCCAGGCGTTGCCCGGGTCATTCGTCTAGTATATATATTTATATATATATATAAGTCAATTTCTGTCTGTCTGTCTGTTTCGCGATAAACTCAAAAACTACTGAACCAATTGGTACCAAATTTTGCATGTCGCTTTTTATAAACATGAGGAAAATTTTCGGCTGCATTTTGATTAGTATTTTTGGCTATTTCTTTTTTTCATTTGAAGAACTTTTTTTTACGAGGACTAATCCAGAATGGAATGAATACCTAGATATGGCCATTTTTTTAAGCATCGGTGGTTCAGTGGTAGAATGCTCGCCTGCCACGCGGGCGGCCTGGGTTCGATTCCCGGCCGATGCTTTTTTTTTTTTACAATTTTTAAAACTCATTCATATTATCTTATATATATAAAATTGAATGTCTGTCTGTCTGTCTGTACTCTATAGATTCAAAAACCATACATCCAATCGCCGTGAAATTTTGGGATATTATTAGGTATATCACCGGGAAGGTTTTTGAAAAATAATTTCATGATTATCTTGAATATCCTTAGAGTTATTTGCAGATTTGTAGATTTAACTCGCAAGCAGCGCCCCCATTGTGACGATGATAACAAGTTTTCTTATCACTAAGTTTGTTATCTTAAATATTATTTATCAAAAGTAAGATTATCTCAAGATGACACGGCAATTTTTTTGCGACAAGAATAATGATACAATTCCAAGGCGAAGATACTATTCCTTTAACTTCCAATTACCGAGGGAACCAATTAATATTGATTTTATTCAACTTATCGAGTATTTTTCAAGGGACCGGGAAAAATGTTCACTAGATAAAACTATGATTTTCTAATGTAGAAAATTAGGAAAGACAAAATTCAGGATGACACGGCACACAGGGACCGGGAAAAAATGTTCACTTTATCGAAGAGATTCAAATTTACGAGTTTCAAATTATCAAAATATATCTTTTTTTTTTACTAAGTTTTTAGAGAATTGTTTTAACAAATGTTCGCTAGACACCTTTACTCGGGTAAAACCCCGGGCGAAGCCGAGTACGTTTTATAAGTTTAAAGAGAATTGTTTTAACAAATGTTCGTTAGACAAACATTCACTCGGGTAAAACCCGGGCGAAGCCGGGCACATCCGCTAGTATATATATATATATATATATTAAAAAAAAAAAAAAATTCGTGGATGGCTTTTCTTGATTTATCAAGAAATTGGGTTGGCCAAATATCAGGGAACAGGCTAAATCAATGTTTAGTTGATTTCTGTTCCACCAGATGGCGCTCTGCCTTCTGTAAAGCACATGTGCTCCTGGTCAGGATATGCCATTTTTTATATATATATATATATAATAGAAAAACTTTATACAATATTTGAAAAATGTTTTAGAAATGAATTCTTTATGGAGGGTTGTAATAGAGTGAAGAATTACTGTCACCCACACGGCAGGCAGGGCTGTCAACATCTATTATTTAACTGGCCCCGGTAAATTTTAATGTCCTCTAGTATGATTCCTCCCAATTTTCACGCCCAATCAGAATTCCGCTGAATTATGGATTTGTCCTTGTACCTCGGTGCGTGTTTGGACTGATATCTAATTTTGTTCTAGCTGCTCTCAATACATCTTTGTCCTGTTGACAGGTTACGGCAGACACATTATGTTAGCAAATATTTATCATTTTATTTGAACCCGTCATGTCAGTATTTTAAACAATTTTTTAGTTCACAATATATTTAATTTATTTATAAATATTTAATGAATAATTCAAGACCTTTATTTTATTATTGAATGATTTATGGGGTTTGTCTTCTCTCCAATAAATGATTCTAAAAATATTCTGTGTATATTGAGAAACCTTATTACCAATTCTGATGAAAAATGACTAAGAGAAAAGGTGAATTATTCAATATGAAGTGAAATCTATATTACATATGTCGGAGAGGTTGTCGGCCGACCACTAGTTCTAGGCATAAAAGGGGAATCCAAGAATTAGAGACCAAGGATCCCAGAAATAGCTGCATCTAGCTCACACTGGACATATTTCGCCTCGAAGCTATTGCTTGTCACTACATCTCTGCTAACTGAAAGATAAACAGGTCTTTGAATTTCCAATTTCGAATGGAAACACAACTATCAATAGGATAATGGATATACTTCAACAAATATCTACATACCAAGCGCTATTTTGGAAAATATTTCATGCTCGCATATAATAAAAATATGAAAACTCAAGAGTTCAATTTCAAATTAACTGATTTCTACATAATATACATAAATACATTTTTTGGTTCTATCCTCTATATTGAATCATAATTAAAATATATATAAAACTAGACGGGTGACCCGGGCTTCGCCCCGGGATTGACCCGTGTGCATATCTACCCGAGTGATATATATTTAGATAAGATTTTTTCATAATTGTTTGTTATTAGCATTATCTATTTAATTGCATCAGCATAATTTAATCTAATCTTAAATAGAGGGCGCTGTTCGTGAGCTAAGTATAATAATTTGAATATATAGTTTTAATAATTGATTTATATATATTTTTAAATAGTCTATCGTCTTCCCCGTATTTTTTTACCTATGTATGGAAATTTTGGTTTGAATTAGTGAACTACTGCGAATTTGCATACCGGACATACAAACAAACAAATAAACATACAAACATTCATTTTTATATATATAGACAATTAAAATAGACTTTATTGACAATCTAGTCAATAATTACACTCCATCAAGAGTTAATGGGAAATATTTACAGTCTTCTTGATTCTGTCAGGAGCCCAGAGCCAGCCTGAGCTCGGACAATCCCCTTTGGATAATAGGTTGGCAGTCGCGAGTGTGCTCAGCGACAGTGCCGAGAAACTCGGGGAGAATGTGTTTATGTCTTCGTGATAGATACTTGAGGAGTCGCTCCCTATTCTCGGGCCAAATGACCGAAAATGGGACCTCGATATCTTCTAGTCCATTCTCGAATATGGGCTTTAAGGCTTGTTCCCAATTTAGTTTTTCGAGGATTTTACATAAATGATCCTCGCACGCATACTCTAGCTCTTCCTCCTCCTCCTCACCGTTTGCTTTTGGTTCAGTGGTAGAATGCTCGCCTGCCACGCGGGCGCCCCGGGTTCGATTCCAGGCCGATGCATTTTTTTTATACAATTTTTAAAACTCATTTATATTATTAAAAAAATGTGCTTTTCCTGTCTATGTACAGATTTACGGTCTATGTACACAAGTATACAAGTATGTATACAAGTTATTTGCAAATTGCGTGGCAAATTTGCCCTTTCGCTCGCAAGCAGCGCCTCTAGCGGTGAAGATGAGAGGTAATATCAGCTGACCTAATGGACATGTAAAACGTGTTTTAACAGGACATAGAGAAAATCTGAAAAAGATATTTTTCGGATTTTTAGTCAAGAAAAATAAATTGACAGGTTCTGGGAAAAAAGTAGTTGTTTTTTATTCAGAAAATGTTGATGACAATATTGCTGTATCATATTTTATTATCAGATACAAAATTATATCGGAAAAGATTCCAAAAAGCAGAGACCACGGGTGAAGCCAGTTCATTTTTAGTATGCAGGAACAAAATTCTAACAGAAAAACATTCATTCGAGCAGAAGACACAAAGCCAGATCATCTCTATAAAAATATCGCTTCTCAGACACAAAGTTTGGAGCGGGACGTTTCACAAGAATGACATCCACGGCGCCAATTTATAATTGTAACGAATAGTATTTGAATGAAAGCATTTAATCGGGTAAAACCCGGGCATTGCCCTTTCTTAATCAATTCTGTCACCGTTTGCTTTTGTGAATGGAATAATTACCCAAATATAGCGATTTCTCATAACCATCGGTGGTTCAGTAGTAGAATGCTCGCCTGCCACGCGGGCGGCCCAGGTTCGATTCCCGGCCGATGCATTTTTTTATTTTTTACAATTTTTAAAACTCATTTATTTATATACTAGCGGATGTACCCGGCTTCGCCCAGGTTTTTCTCGAGGGAATGTTTGTAGTCTAGTAATAAGAAAATATACTACACCTAAAAACTATCAGAGAAAAGAGAAACCACGGAAGGTGAA